CTATGGTTGTCCCCTCAAAAAACATGCCGAACATTTTGCCTCCCCGAACAGGCCACGACCCGTCATAGGTAAAAGGGATACAGAGTGAAAAAGGCTCCTACGGCCCGTCTAGGCCTAGGAGTTCGAAGGTTGGCCCACCGACGGGTTCGACAACCGCTCCGGGTACCTTTAGAGTGACGGGTGGAATGGGATGGGCCCACTAGCGGCCAGAACCCAAGCACACGAGCGACGCGGGCATCCCAACCCATGTTCGAGTCTCGGCCAGATACGATCCACGTTTTTTCCTCGAAGAAAGGCAGAGAGCCCTCGGGACCAGTCGAACGGACCCGAGAAAATATATGGATTGACCACTAAGAATCTGGAGTCGGTCACCAAGCTGACCCAAGCCGGATCCCCACGAATGGGATGCCGGGGCCCCACTCGGACTAGCCCATTAACAGCTCACCAAGCACCATGATTCGTCCATAGAGAAAAATCATGACACGACTCGACCAATTCGTTTTTATCGGAAAAAAATGCTTGAGGGAAGACAATCGCAAAGACAAGCCGATCCTTGACCGTGCCACTGCTTCGGGCAGGGGCTCGAGGAAGTTGGACTCGCACGAAGACCGAACGCATGGTCGCAGAACGACATACCCCCGTAGGGGTCAAAATCAGGAAAGACCTTTTCCAACCCACCAAATCTCACGGCTATACCCCCGAGGGGACCGATTTCGATCAAAGGGAATCAGTGTCCCCTGGTCACACCGTGGGCGACAAAAGAAGGCCAAGGCCCTCAGGGTCCTCCCATTCAGAAAAGCCTCCAAAGGAGTATTCTACTCCTCCGCGGGCTCAGAGGCTACTATCGGGGACCAATACTAGGGTATCCGAAGAGGAGGAGCTAATGGTCAACAACAATGATTCATCCGAGCAGTCAAGAGCGTGACTATAGCTCCAACCGACCCCCAGGCGCGAGGGCTCTGCCTCGCCCGACCTATGAGGAAGGGCTCCGCCTCGCCTGACCTCTGGGGGCAGGCTCTGCCTCGCCCAACCTCGAGGCCGCAATCTTTGCCTCGCCCGACCCTGAGGCCATGATCTCCGCCTCGCCCGACCCTCTGGGGCGAGCTCCGCCTCGTCGACCCCATGGGTGCTGGCTCCATCTCGTCCGACCCCTTGGGTTCGCACTCCGTCTCGTCCGACGGAGACCCATACCGCCGCAAACGACTCCAGGTCCAGGCGTATGGGCCTGTGTGGGGGATATGACCCCCGATACCCATATGACAAGACATGGGCCACACCATCAGAGGTGGCCCAGCCCACAAGATCAAGGTGTGTACGGCACTGATCGATGTGCACCGTAAGATATTGTATAGTACCAAATATGATACTTTTCTACCCCTCCAGAGTATATTAGGAGAGGCTGGGGTCCCCTAGTCGACAGCCTAGGTCAAGACTATGACATCAGGGAAGAGACTGGCACGCCTCAATGTAACCCGTAGCCATGACGGAACATACCAGAGGGTTCACGTCAAGAACAGCGTCGGGCGTGCCGGTGCTATTCCGTCTAAACCTCGTACGAATGGTGACAGACGCGTCAGTTCACCACGATGTCCGCCAGGACGGGATGGAACGCCATGACCGGCAGACGACGCCTGCGCGTGGCGCCAGTGACGGACAGGGCCGCGATGTGGAGCTGTCCCTGTTGACATCTATAGGGTCGGCGAGACCCGCATGAAGGAGAAGGACCCGACGATCCTGGAAGCTTTCCTCTATCTCTCGTTCTTCTCTTTTTCCTCCGTTGTAACCCATGCTTTCTCTTGACCTATAAAAGGGAAAGCAGAGCGTCCCCTGAAGAGGGGGCCGATCGAATCACCCTGAGCTGATCAGAACACGAGATAAACACACGAGAACACAACACGAACACACGGCCGAGCAGCGATCGAGCTCTCACCACCCGTTCACTCTTTCTATCAGAGACTTGAGATCATTTCCTCTCTCGCCTGTTTGTAACCCCTATTATAAACTTTTAGTGCTAGTAACATGAGCAGCAGCGACGAACTGGACGTAGGGACTTTCTGTCCGAGCCAGTATAAACCTCGTATCCCCTAATCACACCATCCGAGCCAGACGCACAATATTAGAAATTTACTCGTTGGTGATAACTCGAAACACGACACGTATCCTCGTAGATGTTATTTCCTAGGATGTTTCTTTTGTTTTGTTCACTTTTCTCAGATTTCTGATGCCTGAAATGTTCAGTTCAAGTCCAATCTCTTGTCTCTTGATCTTTTATTTTGGAACAAAGGTCTTACTGTTTTTTCTGCTATTTGTGTCTTGTTTGCCGCCTGGATATGCCATTGCCATGGCCTTGTCTAAACTAACGATCTTGTGTTTCTGAAGTGGAGAAGCCTGTTACAGCTGCCGTAGTGGATGAAAGGAGGAGGGAGGAGGAAGTTGTCAGTTTTTCATGCTCACAATTCTCTCCGATGAATCATGTTCTTGATAGGAGTAACTTATTGTGTCTGAATGCTCACCGATTCCCTTCTTGGCCTCTTTTCCGATTGTTTGTCAGGAGAGGCTGCTCAAGAAGGTGCGGGGGTACTCGGTGTTCCTCTACTTCAGCAGCATGATCGTCGGGATCGCGCCGAGGTTCGCGCCGGCGTCCAGGCCCGCCTTCGTGCCGTGCCTCCCCGCCGGCTACGACCTCCTCGTCACCTGCGCCACGTTCACCGTGGCTACGCTCGTCGAGGTGAGCTTCTTAACGTGCATGCCATGAGTATTCGATTCAATCGTTCGTTTCTCTGTCTGGAACTTGGTCGGCTCAATTTTCTGTGAGAGTTTTACTCGCTGAAATGTTCGTCTCGCGTTCTTGGCAGGACTACTTGGCTTGAGGAGGACATTGCAGTTATCATGGCTGTGGAGTATCCGTCTATTTTTTGCGTTTCTTTGTTAGTGTCATAGAGTTGGAAGTTTAGTAGTAGTAGTAGTAATTAGTAAAGGTTGTCTTTTTGCGATGGTCGTGCTGAACAATCTTTTGCCTAGCGTTTGTGAAAGGTTGATGGAATCGTGGGTGCAATCTTTTGCCTAGCGTTTGTGAAAGGTTGATGGAATCGTGGGTGTCCCGTGTCCGTCTGGTCTTGCTATCTAGTATTGTCAGAACTTGCAAAATAATGTCTAGGTCTGTTCGTTTGAACTTATCAGTCAACTTATCAGCTAAAATCTACAGTATTTTTCTCTCACAATAAATCAAGGCCGGCTTATCAGCCGACTTTAATATCAGCCGAACAAAACCTGGAACCACCATATTGGCATATTGCCTCTTTTGACGAACAGTTTGGTTGGAGTTGGCTTCCTCGCTTGCTGTGAATCTGTGATCATCTGTTTTCCTTACCACAATTTCTGCTGCTAGATTACATTGTGCCCCACACCCGTCCCGCGCTGCTTCGTTGCCACCCTATGATCATCTGTTTTCCTTTCTTCAATTTTGAGATTACATTGTCTTATTTTCAATAAAAAGAGCTTCTATTAACTTTTCAAGAACATTATATTAAGGTGATATAAAATCTTGAAAAAGAACTTTCGGACTCTGCTTGAAAAGCACACAACCGAGCAGAACACACAAAAGGTTACATTGTTGCGTTCGCTGATTGACTAGCTATTCTGTTCGGTGCAAATGCACTTCAACAATGAAGACATAAAAATGCCTTGTATATAAAAAAAGACAGAAATGGGCTGAGAAAGCATGAAGGCTTTCCGTCTGTCAAGTATGCTGTGTATGGACACTGCTACCATCATTACGATATGAGTGGTATAAAAAATACCTTGTCAATGACATGTGTCGTGATACAGTGTAAGATGACATCCGTAATAATAGTAAATATATAAATGTCTCCTGGGATGGGACAACCACTTTTTTTTAAGAGGCCATCTATAGATTTTATGTGAAGTGCAATTTGACCGTGAACGTGCGGGTAGGGGCGGTCGCGCGCTGACACGCCGGCGAGAACGCCTGGCCGGGCACGTTCAGGAGAAGGCATCCAGCCCGATCGATCGCTTTGTGTAGTCGTGTGAGAGCATGTGACCGCCGACCGCGTCCGCGTGGCAAACATTTGAGAGGGTGACTGCAAACGCAGCCCGACGGTGGGCCGTTGGATGAGCAGTAGCACAACAACATGACTTTCGTGGATTCTGGACTCAGGAAAAAAATCGGTGCTGTTTGGTTTCACGTAGGGGGTGGTAATGCAAATGGAAACAGCTACCGCCGCTACCTGTTACACTGGAATTAAAAACACGATTTGTTTGGTTGCTGCACGAGACGAGCGAGCGGAGACCAGATGTGACCCGCTCCCGCTGAAACAAACACGGAGTAATGAGAACTGATAGCGGTGCAAATGGTTATGGAGATAAAAGCACTGAACCAATGGTACCTCACTACCTCAGTGAGAAAATGTCCATATGGTGCAACTAGAAGCATATTGCCGTGGATTTGCGATACATATCTATGTCCATGCATCTCACGTAAGCCGGTGCATAACCTAGTTACTAGAATCTCATGTTGACAGGGGTTGAGGGTGACGAGGCAAAACTTTACACAATTGTGGTTCGAAGGGGAAGGGATACACGTAGGCCTAATAATGGTTTGGGGCGATCCAGATTGAGTGGTTTGTGTTTTACGGAGTAGTTTGCTCTTACTACGGTTGGTATGGAAAGGTACAGTTTGCTGACACTAATGGTTTGGATTGGTTTGCTTTTAGAGGGAAACGGTTGGATTGTGGTTTGGTAATAGGTTTCAATTTTCAGGTTTGCAACCCATGGGGAGAAGAGAAACGGTTCACAAGAGATAGGTTCGTGGATGCTCATAAAAGATGAAACTGGGTAGGATGAGTAATCCATCGACACCTATACGACGAGTGCCGGCATTGATTTTCCGGTCGTATAGGGCTTGTTTGGTACGCTGGCCCGATGGCCCGACTGCGCCCCCCAGCTGCAGTACGCGTGTTGGAGCCCAGCTCGCATGCTGCTCAAAGCACACCAGCGCCTGGCTCCCAGGAAACGAAGGGGGGTTGTTTTTTCACGGCCTGGCCCGGTGGAGCGAGACGGAGCGCGTGGCGAGCGAGCTCGTCACCTCCCGGCCTCTCACCTCTCACCTCGACGCGCCGCTCCGACCATGGCGCCATACCTGGTGACATCGCGGTGCAGATGCTGAGGAGCTCGGCGCCGGAGAGCCAGACGCCGAAGATGCGGTCGATCTGGCGGCCGCGGCAGTCGGCGGCCCACTCAAGCACGGTGAGCGCGAGGGCGCCGGCGCCGGCGCCGAGGCAAGTCGGCAGCGCGTAGGCGACGGTGACGGGGGGCGGCCGTAGGTGGCGCCGAAGGTGGCCGAGAGGAGCAGCGTGGAGCAGGGCCCCGCGCTGCCGTGCGGCGGGGTGGATCGGGCGGTCCACCTGGAAGAAGGTGGTCGGCGGCTCCGACGCGTTGAGGGAGGCGACCTCAAGAACGCGCCGAGGCGGTGCCTGCTCTGCGGCGCCGTGGACGCCGCGGCGGCGGGGGAGAGGAGGAGCACGAGGAGGGCGCTCGAGGCGGCGACGGATGGCGCCATGGTCGGAGCGGTGGGCACGAACAGCCTTCGCTTCTGTTTCAGCACCTAGGCGTCGATCGGCAGCGTCTAGTTCACCTGGTTGCTGATCACGTGGAGCAGCGCGCCCGGCGCGTGGTCCGGCACCGCCGCCACGAGGTCGCGCACGATGCCACCGGCGGCGTTCTTGTTCAGCCTAGTAAGTGTTCGACGAAATGCCAAGGCCAAGAGGAGGAAAATTTTGAGGGTAATGTTACCGAGTTCTAGGTGCAAAGCGGTCATGTCTCTTGTCCGAGAACCAAACGAAGTGGGCTCGGCTCTACTAGAACACAACACCGAACACATAAAATTGCACCATGGGGGCCGGGCTTCAACTATCCACAGCCAGGATAGCCGGCCAGGCCGGGCAGGCACAAGATATCAAACACGCCCATATTCTCCCGCACCTATGTGGCGCCAGAATTTGTGCGCCACCGACCAGGAACAACAAGCGGCGCCCGTAGCGGTCCACGGCGAGCATGAACACGAAGGTGGATCCCACGCACGCAACGCCTGTCAGACTAAGTCACCACTGCTGACCGCAGCGACGCGCGCGCTCCCGCCCACGCTGATGGTGCGCAGCAGCACCGGCGCGTACAAACTCGATAACATTGATCCCAGTCACCTGCCGGACGATGGGGACCATCACCGACTGTGCGGCCGCTACCGCCGCTCCACGATGATCCACCGCCGGCTGTCCCTCCCTCGGCTGCCATCGTGCGCGCTGCTGCTGGGGCTGGCGGCGACGATGTTGTGCAGCTCGATGCCATGCATGCTATGTCTCCACAAGTTGGTCGGGTCTGTTGGGCGACATGGTGACCGCGACGCGACCAACGTCGGCCCTGTTCGCTTGAGCTTATCAGTCAGAATTAACCTTACTTTTCAGCCATGAGAACAGTATTTTTCTCTCATAATAAATTAGCCTTACAAATCAACCGCACGAGTCCAAACCGAAGAGGGCCTAAGCGTCACGTGCTCGGTCCTTATCTTCGCCGATGCCGTGTGGGATCCTGTCGCGATGACTTCTTCGGCCCGCGAGCAGGAGTGCCGATGCCAATTCATCGAGTGGTTTGTGTTGCCTCCTTTTCGGCAATTTTCACAATTTCTGGCGGAGCAGTCAACGTCCGGGGCTCCGGCAATGGCTTTCAATTTTTTTTTATGAACTCGTAAGGGCAGTTGACGAATTCCAATTGCAAACCAAGCAGCGTATCGCCGTATCGGGATCCGGCTGCAAGGATAGGGCCGCTAGTACTGTGTCAGCAGGATTTGTTCTGTTTCACTTCTGCAGAGCTTCCTGCTCGTGTCCAAAACTCTGATCGCAGCGGGGCAAGGCAGCCCGGCGACACCGTGAAATCAGTGCTCTGCTCGAGTACGATCTCAACAGAAACTCATTCCAACTGCACTAGTACTGCAGCCTCCGTGTGCCATGTGTCTCCGTCCCTCCCCATCGGCTCTTGCGACCTGCTATAACTTGGTTCTCCCACTCCCACACTCGCGCTGCATCCATCCATCTCTTCTTCGGAGTACTCTTCGTTAAGAGCCGTAGCACGGTTCCGAGGCAGAGTCCAAAGAGTGCGAAATGGATGGTATAGTGTACTCGTAGATTCCTAGCTCATCTTGGGTTCACATTTCTGAGATATCATATGCCTGAAATGCTCAGTCCAAGTCTAATATCTTGTTTCTTGATCATTTATTTTGGAACATTGGTTGCCATCTGGATCTTATCATGGTGTTGTACAAAATAACCATCTTGTTTCTGCAGTGGAGAAGACAGTTGCTGCCGCTGGAGCGGAAGGGACGAGGCAGGAGGAGGTTGTCAGTACACTCATGTTCTTGGTAGGAGTAACTTTTGCGTCCTCATGTTAGCCGACCCCCCTCTTCGATTTGTTTCTCAGGAGAGGCTGCTCAACAAGATGCGGAGGTACTCGCTGTTCCTCTACGTCGGCAGCATGATCGTCGCGATCGCGCCGAGGCTCGCGCCGGCGTCCAGGCCCGCCGTCGTGCCGTCCCTCCCCGCCGGCTACGGCCTCCCCGTCACCTGCGCCTCGTTCACCGTGGCCACGCTGGTGGTGCAGGAGATGCTGGCGCGCGTCCTGGAGCGGAGGCCCGCGCCGGCGCCGCGGCTGACCCCGGAGGCCGCGTGGCCGCTCGGCATCGCCACCTGGATGTTCCTCACCATGTTCTTCCACAGCTACCTCTGTTTCGGCGGCGACGACTACTTCGTGCGGAGCTGCGACGAGTGGGCGGCGGCCTGCGTCGCGTCCTCGCTCAACCTTTTCATCGCCACACTCACCGTTTCGGTAAGCTTGCGTGCATTGCTTGCATGACATGAGTTTTTCGATTCGTTCGTTTCTCTGGAACTTGGTCGGCTCAGATTTTGCGTGAGAGTTTTACCTGCTGATCGACATGCTCGTCTCGCGTTCTTGGCAGGACTACTTGGCTTGAGGAGGACATTGCAGTTAGCTGAGACTACAAGAGTTTGCAAAAATGAACGTATCATAGGCTCATGGCTGTGTCTGGAGTATCCGTTTGTCGTTGCGTTTCTTCGTTAGTGTATTTGAGTTGGAAATTTAGTAGTAGTAGTAGTAGTAGTAATTAGTTGTGGTGGACAATCTTTTGCCTAGCGTTTGCAAAAGGTTGATTGAATCGTGGGCGTCCGTCTGGTCTTGCTAGCTAGTATTGTCAGAACATGCAAAACAATGTATTTGGTTCGGATCAAGATCAACATCTCATGGCTGTGGCTGGAACCGTATTGACATTGCCTCTTTTGACGCCCTCGCTTGCTGTGAATCTGCGATCCTCTGTTTTCCATACCGCAGTTTCTGCTGCTAGATTACATTGTGCCCTCCGGGCTAGATTAGGCAGCCGAGAACGCCCGGCCTCGCGCGTACAGGCGAAGGCGTCCAGCCCGGTCCGTCGCTTGTGTGGGCAGTTGGAGCAATAGCACAGCGGCATGACTTTCGCGGACTCCGCGGTCCCCACAAGGGCTGGTGCGTGGTGCATGACCACAATTGTGGTTCGAAGGGGAAGCCGGGCAGTTTGACCTCGCCGCCGTTGATTGCTGCTTCACTAGATAGCGGCTGGCCTGAGCGGCGACATCGGTGTTCGGTGGCCCATGGCCTCGAGGCAGCTCTCCTCGCAAAGACCACAGCAGTGCCGTCGCGCCCCGCTCTTCGTCCCAACTACAGCGGTGTCGGAGCTCTCCGCTCTGTCCTTGTTCAGACGGTCTGAATCAGACCCTCAAGGCCTATGTGTCATCTTGTTAGCATTTGATGATCTTGGCAGCGATGGACTACTGGTAGTAACCAAACAGATCCAGTTTTGAGTCATTCTCTTCCCTTCTGTCTCCTGCTCAAGCTTCTACATCGGCTGCACTCCGCGGAGACCTCGGCCTGGGCGCATGCCTTGCAAGTTGCAACGCCGAAGGGTGATCTGCATGGCGCGCACTGGGAGGTGTTACGCTCGCTGTTGTTGCTATACGAAGCGATCACCTCGGTCCGGGTTGAAGATGCATGGGGAGAGTACCTCCTCTTGGTTCGACGTCTGGTTCGGTGAGGCCGCCCTCGCCGACCGGCTCCCAGTCCTCTTCAGTCACTGCAAGGACCGTGATCCTACGGTTAAACGCGCGGTGGCAACAATGCTCGTGGGGGGCCTTCGTGCCATGTCTGTCTCCTCAGGCAGATGTGGAACTGGCAATCGGGCGCGGCATCGCCGAGGTCACAGTCACAGTTCTAGCCGGCGGGGCAGATAAGAGGTTTTTTGCACCTTTTTTTTTTTTTTTTTGCCTTGGCACTGGGAAGCTAGATACATCTGGGGTGTACAAACTGCTCAAATCACAGGGCTGTGTGAGGGACGAAGATTCAGATATGCGTCATGTTTGTTTGGGCTTTTTGACTGATAAGTTATGGCTGAAAGTATGGTTGGCTGATTTGGTGTAAGAAAAAATAATATTCGTTGACTAATAAATCATAACTTATAAGCCAAACACGATCAAGCGAACAGGCCGATGACGTGAAACCAAACGTTAGCGTGCCACGCATGAACCACCATTGCCGTAGATATATATCATGATCCTAGAGGATGCACGCAACCTAGGAACACAAAGAAAAGGTGCAGTGGCAGATGAGGTAGGCCCCCCCGGGGGCTGGCCCGGCTGCACATGCCGACAGAGACAACTCACAGCCGTGACCTGTTCTTTCACTGCTGGAGTAACAGGCGCAGCGCATGCGGTTTTGGCGTTCATGGGCCGTCCAGTCCCTGCAGATTCCTGCGGCACTTGAACGTGGCTCACACGCAGAAAGGCCCTGGACGCAGGTGGTCCACAGCCTGGCTATATATCACACCCTGACGCACGCAGCCACCTCGCCACTTCATTCGCGAGTGTACCAGGCAGTGTTGCAGTTTCACCTCGGTAGCCAGTGGTTTCCTCAGAGGAAGAGGAAGAACTTCCTCCTCTGCGTCTTTGAGCTGTCCTGAAGATCTCGAACAAGAGGTTGAAGATGAAGGCGATCCCTGTGGCTCTCCTGCTCCTCGTCCTTGTGGCTGCCGCCGCCTCGTTCCAGGATCTCACTGTGGCTGCAGGTAAGATTGTTGCAAATCTTGCAGCGAGCAAAGATTGTTGCTGGGCGGGATCCTGATCATGTATGCTTTTCTTTCCTTGTGTGAAAACTACTACATCCTGTATGCTTAAGCCGTCGCGTCTGTGCTCCCTCCCCACTGCAGACAACGGCGGCGCGGTCCCGGACGGCGTGTGCGACGGCAAGTGCCGGAAGCCGGTGCTCGCTGAAGAAGGCCGGGCGGTGCATGGGCCTGTGCATGATGTGCTGCGGCAAGTGCCAGGGCTGCGTGCCGTCGGGCCCGTACGCCAGCAAGGACGAGTGCCCCTGCTACAGGGACATGAAGTCCCCCAAGACCCAGCGCCCCAAGTGCCCCTAGGATGATCCATTGAGTTCGAAGGATTTCGCTCGCGATCCTGCTCAGGTTGTGGTTGTACTACTAGCTTGTAAGAGGTGTCGAGCTCGTGCGCGCCGTGCGTCGGAATCTCGCGGTTCTTCCGTGTGTGCTGTGTCTGTATGACTGTATCCTCGGACGTGCTAGAACCTAGAATAAATATAATCATAAATTCATAATAAAATGCTACTAGATCAGCGTGTCCCTTGAGATGTTGGGAACCAAAGAACTTCCAAACGGATTCTACTGCGTATTACGGACGATGGTGAACAATGTTTAGAGTGCGGCTCTCGTAGATGTTGGGGGGAAATTATCAGTGTAGCGGGCGCTTGCCGCAGGAACGCACGCAGCCGTCCTGAACCCCCGCTGCCCGGTGCCTGCTGGGGTCAATCGCCGGCTGACGCAAACGGCACCGACGTAGTACGGGGAACGCGGCGCGGATGGCACTGTCGGACGTGTTCGTTTGGCACTCCCGCGGGACCATGTCAATCATAGGGTAGAATTTTCACAAAGGCCATGTTTAGTTGTCCCAAATTTGTCAATCATAGGGTAGAACTAAATGTTGACGAAATCAAAACTAATTACACAAGAGATTAACGTTTTGAGCCTAATTAGTCAACGATTGAACAATTATTACCAAATAAAACAAAACAAAGCCGGTTTGGAGCAACAGAGTGGCAGTTGTCCGAAAACCTCAGTGTCCGGAAACCCGGCGGCGCCGAATCCGGCAGCGAACTAAACGCGGCCAAAGCTTATAGCCGGTTTGGAGGGGCTCTACCTCTATACTATAGCAGTAATGTTGTAGAGATCTTTCTAAAGCTCACTTAGCTTAACTAAACTCTTCTCATCGGTTTTTACTCTCCCTGTCCTACTCTTAAAGTAATGGTTTTCTAGAGGTTGCTGTCAGAATAAGTAATTCACCATGAGCAATCTACGGACTGTTCGTTTGGCTGGACTTGTTCGATGCTGGATCGTGAAGAAGTACTGTTGACTGGTTTGGTGTGAGAGAAAAATATTATTCCAACTATAAATTTATAATCGTTTACAACCGTATAAGCCCAGCCAAACAAGCTCTATGTCTCTCTTTATCTAAAATTTTATGGTTATAAAGTCATGACCTCAATCTATATAAATGGGTCCAAGCACGTCTTTGGTACGACTCCTTCACTAAACAGTTATCGGTAGAAGCGATAAATGCTTGTTGGTAGAAGCAAGTAATTATCGGTAGAAGCGATGAATGCTTGTTGGTAGAAGCAAATAATTATATGAGAAAATTCCTTCATTGCTATTGAAAACTATAGTAATTTCTTTCATTGTCATTTAAAATTACATGTTTCTCTTCGTTGTCATCAGTTTTAGATTTTTCATCACCTCATTGCCACTGCTGTCACAGAGAAGTCACGGCGTCACTTCGCTCCCATACCCGACGTCCAGACACCATCCGACTTCGCTCCTCCAACCGCCTCGCAGCGTCGCCCTCCGCGTCCACCTTCTCCGGCGCAGTCTTGCAGCAGCGCCTCCACGACGCCTCCGTCATCGCGCACGAGGACAACGCCACCGCACCGGGCACGACTACTGCGACCGCGCACACGACTCCAAGCCCCAGCGTCTGCTCGTCGACCACACGCGCGAGGCCGCCGCCGTCGACGGTAGCCTGCTGACGCCTGGCGCTAGCGGCATCACCGCTCCATCCAAGATGGCGGCGGTACTCAGGGCGCTGCCTCTGCTCGCCATCCCCTTCCTCCCGCCGCCGGTGGCCGCTCTGGTGGCGCTCTCCTCCCTGGCCAGCCGTGTCAGCGCTCGCTTCGACGACTGCTTCAAACTGAATCATGCCACCTGCACGATCTACCCCTACGACAACGGCACCAACTCCATCGACCGCACACGACCCAACCGGGACCTCGACCTCGGAGCGGTGTGCCTGCACCCGCTCTGCCACGCTGACTCCACCGAGCGCCTCTTCTCCGTGCTCAACGGGCAGCGTCACGGGCGTGGGGACGACATCCTCCACATCTACTGCATCGTGAGCACGCTCGAAGGGGACCTGTCAATCCTACCATGGAGGAACACCTGGCGCGTCCATCTTCCCGTCGCCGACCCGGGCGCTGCTGCAGCTTCCGGCGCCAACATCTGCTACATCGAGCTCGCGCATTTGGACTACAGGGAGGGCTACTACATCCACTGCCCCGCCGGCGAGCATCACCAGACGTACTGCACGGAGTTCCCCGAGGAGGCGATCGCGGCGGCCGTCTGGGAGCACCGCAGGCTCAACTACGAACTACCGCGCCACCGCTGGCCCACGGTACGCGACGTATCAGCAGAAGTACAAGCACGACGAGCTCTGATCGTGTTAGAGATTGCAGTTTTCGAGTTAGCAATTTAGCATCAGTCTGTTAGTTGATTCTCTCTACTGGGAGGCTGGTGCTGTTCTTCTGGAGCTTGATGCATGATCTGCATGTGTTTGATAAAATTCCCAGTCATCGTCCTACTAATGTTTTTGTATGCGTTCTGATGATCGATGGATCTCTTCAATACTGCCTGCACACATTGTTTCTTGTTATTATCTGATCTGATGTGTGAATTCAGCTTTTCAGTGCTTTTCCAGTGCAGGTGGCATGATTCAGTTTGAAGCAGTCGTCGAAGCGAGCGCTGACACGGCTGGCCAGGGAGGAGAGCGCCACCGGCGGCGGGAGGAAGGGGATGGCGAGCAGAGGCAGCGCCCTGAGTACCGCCGCCATCTTGGATGGAGCGGTGATGCCGCTAGCGCCAGGCGTCAGCAGGCTACCGTCGACAGCGGCGGCCTCGCGCGTGTGGTCGACGAGCAGACGCTGGGGCTTGGAGTCGTGTGCGCGGTCGCAGTAGTCGTGCCCGGTGCGGTGGCGTTGTCCTCGTGCGCGATGACGGAGGCGTCGTGGAGGCGCTGCTGCAAGACTGCGCCGGAGAAGGTGGACGCGGAGGGCGACGCTGCGAGGCGGTTGGAGGAGCGAAGTCGGATGGTGTCTGGACGTCGGGTATGGGAGCGAAGTGACGCCGTGACTTCTCTGTGACAGCAGAAAAATCTAAAACGGATGGAAAACGAAGAAATATATAATTTTGAATGGTAACGAAGAAATTACTATAGTTTTTAATGACAATGAAGGATTTTTCTCTAATTATATATAGAAGTAGAGGACAATGAATCATATACAAAATGAATGGCCTATGTATAGTATATATGTTGTTGATCTGGAACATCAGTATTTTTTATATGATATAGGCATTGGCTTCTGAAAAAAGATTATTGTCATATTCACCATTAATAAGGATTTTTTTTTGTTATTCACGTGCGTGCCGCACATACTTGTTCACTAGTAATTTAAAATGGAGAGAGTATTACAAATAAATAGAATATATAGATAGATATATAGATAAACTTGCTCTAAAAACCCAACTTTTTAAAAACTAGAATCAGGAGAATGCAGATATAAAGGCTCTAAACAAATGCGTGGCCCATTACATCCATATTGTGTTTGAATTTATCAGTTTACATTTGTTGTGGCCCATTGTCTCTATATTGTGTCCACGATCGCGAATGGAATGCTAGCCGTCCAAGTCGTGATGGGTGGTTCTCGTTGCATTGACCGACGGGCGTAGGTGTCGTCTGGTCAGAACCCTGATTCGCCAGGACGTTGTCGTCTCACCATTGATCAGCCCGTGGCCAGTGGCCCGCGCCCATGGGGCGCCCTGAAGGACTAGTGGACAATGAAGGTCCGTGGGCTCTGGACACATCCCATACGGCCCACGTAATTGGTTCCTAGGTCACCACGGGCACCCCCACGCGACGCCTCACGGAACGGTGTCGCCGGCCGAATTTTTTAATTTTTAGCCGTTTTTTTTAAGTTTCTCATAAATAGATCTCTTAAGGAAAGATTTCAGAATTTGAATCCTTAGCTCGGCGCCAACAAAGATTTCAGAATTTAAATCCTTAGCTCGGGCTCGACGCTTACGTGGCATTAATTTAGCAGGCAGCTCGACGCCGTAGGCGCTGGCGCCGAGCTCGCCAACCAGGTGGCTCTGTTCGGCTGAGCTGGATTAAAGCTGGTTGGTCGTTTTTGACTGATTTATCGTGAAAAAAAAATATTATTTCACCTAGAAAGTAAACAGTGTTCTGTGAGAGGAACCAGGCAGCTCCAGCCAGCCGAACGAAGCCGTACGAGATGCCCTAATGGGACAGCGCACGTACCGCTACGCTGCTGCTGCTCTACCCTCTGTGCTATCTCTGCACTAGAACTTGTAGCTGGACCACTCACTGCCACTGCTTGCGTAGGGGAGGACATGAGCTGACGGGGGAAATGGCAATGCGCCCCAGTCTGCACCTGCTGCGTGCCATACGCCCATGCTGCGTGCCATGGAAATAAAATTGGATGGGGCCGCCAGCTCGTCGCGCCCACGAGATCGAATCTTTGACCGAGCTCGTTCCGGCGCTCGGCCGCTCGCCCCATGCGGTGCAGGCCCCACCCACCTCCGCCTCGGCACGACGAGACGACGGTACAGCCCTATGCGGCCACGGCCATACTCCTACAGTCCTACAGCCACTACGGTAGGGCCACAGCTCCCTGCTGCGCGGCACGCCGATCACTGATCATTCCGAGCGAAAGGCGCGCATGATCATCACCCTAGATGGAAGTGAAGCCTAATACTAGGTGTCTAGGGGCTAGGGCTAATCGGATGAGCAACAGCACCGTAGCGGACTAGCGGTATGTGGCCAGGCTAGCCACTAGCCAGGCAGCGGCTAGGGCTCGCCAGGTGTCAAATCACGTCCAGCATTCCTGACCGTGCATGTACGTATGTTGGCGCGAGCTGCAGCTCATGCAACGCACAGTAGTACGTACAGTAATTTTTAGTAATGCTGCGCCTGCGCTTGCAATTGCTAATATTAAGGCGGGTGAGTGTGCGTGTCGCAAAAAAGAAAAATTAAATATTATTAAATTAATACTAAAATAGATTTATGATAAATATATCAAGACATACTACTGCTCCATTTGGTTAGGGGGGATTTTATGAATCTAAAAAAAATCTCATAATTTTAAAATCTCATTGAAACAGCTACTCCTCCTAGATGTCTAGGTTCTATTGGATTTTAATATGCATATGCAGAATTAATAAACACATTAACTACTTTTTCCATATTTTGCAACACAATATCTAATAATAGTACGGTACTTTCTCCGTCCCTTAAATATCTATCGTTTGCGTTTTTCAAGAAATAATTTTAACTAAATATATATTAAAAAATATTATTTTTTATAGAACATAATTAGTATCATTAGAAAGATCTTTGAAACTAATTTTTTAATAAATTTATTTAGAGATACAAATGTAGCACGTATTTTCTATAAATCGAGTCAAATTTATGATACGTTCACCAATGACGATAGATATAAAGAGACGGAGGGAGTACTCCATATCTTTCATAGTAAGGGGATGTTTGGATACAATGATTAAAACTTAGGAGGTGTCAATATAAAATCTGTCAGTAATCCTCAAGACGAATTTATTAAACCTAATTAATTCGTCATTAGTATATATTTACGGTAACATCATGTTGTCGAATCATGTGCTGACAAGGCTTAAAAAATTCATCCCGCAAAACCGTCTAGTATTTAGTTTTATAAAAAGTCTAGATGTGACAGGGACCAACAATACTTAGGGGTGTTTGGTTACTATGCGGCCTTCTAAAATTTCTATCACATCGAATGTTTAGACACATGTATTGATTATTAAATATAGATTAATTATGAAACTAATTATATAACTTGCGACTAATTTACGAGACGAATCTTTTAAGTCTAATTAGTTCAAGATTTGACAACGTGGTGCTACATTAACATGTGATAATGATAGATTAATTTGGCTTAAAAAATCGTCTCACAAATTAGTCATGTAATTGGTTTTATAATTAATCTATATTTAATACTTTTATTAATATCTAAATATTTGACGTGACATAAATTTTATAAACGACTAAATAACCAAACATCCCTCTAAATCTAATCGGAGCAGCTGCTGTATGCATGTACTCATTCCACACCATGTGATGTGACAACTGACGATCAATGCATGTATGTAGGGCTAAGGCTAGGGCTAAATGGAGGCTTGTCCCACCGGGTGCGTTGTCACCATCAGCCATAGCGTTGCCTCTCGTGCAGGGTAGCCAAGCGTTGCCTCTCGTGCAGGGTAGCCAGCAAGTGTCCTTAGGGCACCACGGCCCGGCTGAACTGAGATCTCTCTGACTTCACCCTCTCGGCTGCTGAGTGCAGTCAGCAATCTCCTCCAAGTCGAAGGCTACCAACTGGGATCAGGCCATAAGGGTCACGGGTCACGGCGCCGGGGTTGCTGAAGGATTCTAATTTACCTGCCTGGTCCGATTTTTTCTTCTCCGATCTAGAGCTTTTGAAAACCATTCACTTTACATCATTTTCTTTGATGTGACGTCATCGTAACCTAGGGAAAATTTCAAGGCAAATCGGATTAGAAATATTTCTATAAAAGTATAAAATTTATAAAAATAAAAAGTAACCAAATATATTTTTACATGAAAAATATATAATTAAAATCATCAAACCTAGTTCAATCTTGAAAATAACCCAATCAATTATTTTAGCTTGAAAAATTATGTTTGCATGGAAAGTGTTTGAATTTTGATGAACTTATTTTGAATTTTCTAGTAGAAGTTCACGATCTATTATAGTTAGTCAGGTTCACGATTCATTATACTTATTATCGATGGCGTCGAACTAAGATCTAGATTCTAAAATCTTTTTTTTAAAGATTTATTTGTGAGAAGCTTTCCGTTCTAGGTTTGGAAATTTGTGGTTTCAATCGTGCATATGCCATACGGTACTTAGACGATTCTGAATTTCTAATTGGGAGGGATTTTGGGCTGATTGGTTGGCTTTTAATTCTTGTTTAGTTAAAATCATGACATGCCAAAATTTATAATCATCAATTGATCCATTCTCCGAGCAAGAATGGACACATCAATAGATTTATTTGTAGTTTGGAAAAGTTTTTAACAAGTACTTTTATAAAGATTTTGAGCTGAACTACATCAAAATTTGTAGTCATCAATTGATCCATTATCGAAGAATTGACACATCAATGTTTTTAGCCAAAGTTTTAGCAAGTTTTTATAAAGTTCTCGAACTACATAAAAGGAAAATTGGCAACTATTGATTTTGGCAGTCAACCAAATACACATCTATGTTTTTCTCTAACTTTGGTAGCCTTGATTTTGGTAAACCTAAATTTTGATTTGCTATAATTTTAGTTGGACAAAAATTGGTAGCCAACCAATCAGGAGTGCTACAGTCGCCCGTTTGGACCCTAGACTCCGTCCGATGATTTCCCGCCCCCGCGCTCAGCCCACGCGGGAAGGTTACGCGTGCAGGAAGGGAACGGAAGCACTGTAGCGGCCGGAAAATGCGCAAAAAATCTCCACGCGGTAGCAGCTGGTCGCTCGGCCCACCTTGCCTCGCGCGTCGCTCGGCCCATCATTCCATGCTCATCTACTGCATAGTATTATATTATATATATGTGCTTGTATATATACGTATTTGAAGCACAGATACGGACGCGTACAGATACATGCACTCGACCTTGTTCTTACCTGAATCTTACGAGTACCTGCTAGCAGCTAGCTTGTTTCTTCTAGCTCACGTGAACATGCGCATGCATGACACTGTACCGCATAGAAGCGTCTCGCTTCTATTCTTTTCTATATACCCATCATATACATAAATAGCAAGAGTACTCTTATGCGCAGGATAGAAACAACACAAACAAAATGGTACGCACGCAGGATCCATCCAACGGCTAAAAAATCGTGTGCCAACACCTCCCAAAACACACGGTTGTAATATAGCTGTCCTGAAAAAAAATATTATATTAGATTAGAAAATAGAAACAAAAATAGTTAGTGTGCGTGAGAAACTGAATACAAGACCAAAAGTATTAAGATAATAATTCTTAACAACTACACCACGTAGATGCTTTGTTTAAGTTTTAA